CACAGGAACGCCCCGGGGAACAGCCGGGAAGGAGAAGGCGGCTCTCACGGCGCCCAGAACCAGCGTCGCACCCCAGACGTCTAGGTCAGAATCCCGGGAACATCACTCAGAGGGTTTTGACTTTTTGTTTTTGTTGGGGGAAGGGACCCAGGCCCTCCGATTGCCTGGATTTCGTTATCAGCAAGAAACTCCCCTCTTCCCTGCGCTACTGCCTCCCTGCGCGGGGACACTGGCTCAGCCGTCACTCACGGGCAGGCGGGCAGGGGGGAGGTGGGCAGTCGTGGCTCAGGCGCCCCTGCGCTCACACCGGACATCAATGCCAGCGCCAGGGTCTCCCTCGGTTCAGCGGCTCAGCAGGGTTTGCAGTCCCTGAGGAAAGTAGGACGGCTCCAAACCATGTGTCCAAAGACATTCCCAACCCTCCCAGACTCAGTCACGTAGGAAAAACCCTCGAGTGACACTGTCTAAGCAGCAAAACCAAACCAGTGTCACCTCTCCAATAGGGGCCCCGCCTAGGACTGCAAGTCCTGCAGGTGCCAGGGGCCGAGAGCGCCCCTGTCCGCTGACGGACCAGCCTGCGGCCTGCACGGCCCGGAGCCTGGGCTGAGCAGCGGGCGCCAGAGCAGGTGTGAGGACCGCCTTCCCGGAGGAGGGAGCACGTGTGGGTGCGGATGCGGGTGCGGGTGCGGGGAGGAGGGGAAAGGGGTCTGCGCCGGCGGCAGAACCGCTGTTCCCCAGGATGCACTCCAGAGCAAAGACCTGTCCTTAGAGACCAAGGCTGGGCTCCCCAACACTCCTGGGTTACCATGGACACCGTGCCTAGGGCAGATGCGGAGAAGGCCGATGGGGGAAACGGAGGCATCGGAAATGGTGGGAGGAGAGCCCTGAGGTGCCCTGCACCACCAGCAAGGTGAGCAGTGGGTCCCAGGGTAACGGAAGGGAACATCCCTGGAGCCAAATGACAAAGCGACGAAGACACCCCACTTCAGGCATGAAGTGGTGAGGAGGCAGGGCTCTCTGGGAAATAATAATGCCGAGAATTTAAGACAGCAGGAAAGGAGGGGAGCCAAGCATGAGACCACGCCACTGGCATGAGCGTAGGAGCTGAACCTGGCTGCTGGGGGGCATGGGGAAGGGGGGTCACTCACAGGGTCGCCAGGAGGGGGCGCCAACTCAGCAGCATGCAGCACACAGGCTCCCTCCTTTCTTAGGAAGGGCATTCTCCATACTTAGCCGGCACAGGTCCCAAGCGGTGGGGGTAGAAACAGGAAAACAGGATTTTAGAGATCTTATCATAAAGATCTATATCGGCCAGGCTGGTGTGGCTCTGCGGTTGAGCTTCGGCCGATGAACCGGAAGGTCGCAGCTCAATTCCCGGTCAGGGCACATGCCCAGGTTGTGGGCTCAATCCCAGTGTGGGGCATGTAGGAGGCAGCCGATCAGTGATTCCCTCTCATCATTGATGTTTCCATCTCTCTCTCCCTTTCCCTTCCCCTCTGAAATCAATAAAAAAAAAAAAAAATATATATATATATATATATATATATATATATATATACTGAGTGGCCAGATTATTATGATCTCTGAACACATAATAATTTGACCATTCAGTGTGTGTGTGTGTGTGTGTGTGTGTGTGTGTGTATATATATATATATAGATATATATATATATATATATTTATATTTACTTATTAGAGGGCCAGTGCATGAATTCGTACATGGATGGGGTTCGGTCACGGGGAGGAGACATGGGTGGTTGGCTGGCCTGCCTGCTGGTCAAACGCCTGGTAGAGGGAACAATTTGCATATTAGCCTTTTATTATATAGGATACACACTGAGTGGCCAGATTATTATGCGTTCAGAGGTCATCATGGTCTGGCCACTCAGTGTTTTCTAAAAAGATCTCTCTCTAATCTAAATTTCGCTTCCAGTCCAGTCCATAGGAAAGAGCCACTCGCTGCCGCAGAAGCCGCGGACGCAGAGAGAAACACGCGTGGAGCAGCAAACCCGGTGAGGGGCTGGAGAGCCCTCCTGCCCGGCGAGCTGCCCCACGGATGTGATGCCGTGCCATCATCAGAAACACGCAGAGACAGGACCCGCCCACACACGCCGATGACAGCGCCTGACTCGGTTCCAGCCATGACCCGGCACGGAACGCTGATGCAGGAAATCAGCGGGCACACGTGAGCACATCAAAGCCGTGTCTGGGAGATAAAAGCTCTCGCTGCATGCTGGCTATTATTAGTTGTTATTCCCACAATGCACTGTGATTCCCTACGCGTGGCTTATGTAGGATCAAATACAACACTTGGCATAGAAGCAGTTTTGGCCTTATGCTTAGAAAGTAATAAGCCAAGACGTGAACCTCAGAGGGCAGGCGGGGGAAGGGAGGGAGGGTGAGGAGCCCGACCAGTGAACTTGTATGCATATCTGCGTGACCCTATGGACACGGACAATGGGGGGTGGGGGGCGGGCTGGAAGAGGTTAATGAGGAAAAAGGAGTATCTATGGCATTCTTTCAACAACAACAAAACAAAGTAGTAAGTCATGTTTCGCTGGTCGATCTCGTGGTTCCTTTGCGGACCATTCTGGCACTAAGGGGACCTCTTCACGTTCCTTCCCTTGACAAAGCTGCGGCCCCAGGGACTTCTCCCAGGCTCCGGCCTCGGCCTGGGGCACAGTGAGTCCCCGCAGAGGGTGAGTCTCCCTGAGCAGCAGCCACCTCTCAGGATCTGCTCCCTCAAAGCCCCTTCCCTCTGCGCCCACAGAGAGCAGGCCGGAGGAGAAGAGAAAAGATCTGTAAATGCCCCCTGGAGAGTTAAAATGTTTTTCTTTCGTAAAAACAGCTCCACTATCACGGAGCTCAGCTGTACGTGTTTACAGAGCCACGCTGCATAGACAGAATTCTTATTTTTTTATCAAAAGTTCAATATCAACAAAGAGCTTACCCACATTCAGGGCCCTGAAGCCGTGTGTTGTATTTTCCATCCTAAACACAGGCTCCAGGGCGGAAGGAAACACAAGTGCCCGCCAACCGCATGGAGCCTCGGTCCGCGCACCCTGGCGGGCACCACAGGGATCATGATACTGCACTGCCCGCTACACACGCACAGACCGTTATCCCGATGTTTCCACACGTCCAGCACGGAGCATCTTCACATACGATCCCGGGAACACCAGAAAAGGTCTGGAAGTCCCAATGTTCCTCCATCCACATTTTGCTTTCCCAAATCCTGTGTGAAAGGCAAGGTCCTGACTTTTTTTTAGAAGATGTAATTATAATTGGTCACCCTCTCAATGTAACAGACTGTTCATTTGAATAACATGATTATCACAGGTTTGTACAGCAAGTAGGACTGTTCCATCGGCAAGAACACGCGTCTTTTCTACTTGGGAGGGAAGGGAAATGGTGGGAGGGGAGTGAAGGCAGGAGAGATGGGAACTCGGGGGGAAGTACCTCTGACAACACAAACAGCTCAGTAAACAAGAGCTCGGTTACCATATTTCCTTTCCTACTGCTGCCCCACTCTGTCACTTCCCCTACACCAATGGTCGGCAAACTCATCAGTCCAAAGAGCCAAATATCAATGGTACAACGATTGACATTTCTTTGGAGAGCCACATTTTTTAAACTTAAACTTCTTCTAACGTCACTTCTTCAAAACAGACTCGCCCAGGCTGTTGGGATTTTGTGGAAGAGCCACACTCAAGGGGCCAAAGAGCCGCATGTGGCTCGAGAGCTACAGTTTGCCAACCACAGCCCTACACCAGCAATGTTCAACGGCTGTGCTGCAGGAACTTTTAAACATGCAGCACCTGACTATTTAGTCGGGGGCACAGACCGATTTTCCCTTCGATTGTCAACAGCCAACACAGTCGTAGGCGTCCAATGTGAATGAATAAAAATCACACCTATCGTTCTGTGTCAGATCGGCACACACCACACTCTGTGTGCTGCAGATTTTGGTAATCAGCTTATGTGTGCCGAGAGAGGGAAAATGGTAAAAGCCGCTGCCTTGCGAATGCTTGTCCCACATCCTCTGTACTCAGTAAGGCTGCCATTTCCATGACTCTGAGAATGAGGGTCAAAAAACCCTAACGTTCTCGTTTGATATCAACATGCTATCACATTCCAGAAGTTATTATAAAGAAGAGAGGCCAAATACTCCCATATGTTCCATGCACTGAATTATGCAGCTAACCATGCGGTCAAACAGGGGGAAGTGTCTGAAACCGGGGGAAATCTGGGTTTGGGGGGGATCCTACATTCCTTACATTTCAGTCCCATGTTGAAGGAAGATGCTTTTCTTCTTCAGCCCCTCTGTAACCCTACTTGTGAAACGATCTCAGAATAAGAGCATTAATTAATCCTGACTAATTAGGGAGTGTAAACAAGTCCTTTCATCTGGTTTCTATTTTTTAACCTTTAATCAGCGTCCGGGAAACAGAAGGCACAGAAAGGAACGTTTTTGGTAAATTCTGAGCATCCACATGGGATGACGGAGCGCTCCAAAAATGTCCTGGGCAGGAGCGCAGCGAAGTACAAAGCTCCGATCGGTTTCGGCTGAGCACAGCGTGCGTGCGTGCAAACTGCTCTCCTGACGCCCCCGCCGAGAATGTAAACTAACCGTCTGACGCCGGTGCTCGCAACGCGAAAACGAACCGACAGCTTGAACAGCAATGCCACCTGTTAAACGTGTCTTTTCATGGCGTGCTTTTCCCCAAGAACATTCTGGAAAGGTCTGATTGAAAAAAGAGTCACAGGCACCGAAACCACCCATTCTTTAGAACACACGCCTGTGACCAAAGAGCTGCACCTCATTTCTCTCCCTGCACCCAGAGTCTCCTGGGACAGGCCCACACTCCCTTCCGGACGGGATGATGGAGCGTTCTTGTTTGACACACCATTCCCTTCTCCCAGCATGGCTGGAGGGAACGAACCTTCGCACAGTAGGACTCACATGCACAGTAGGACTCATCTGCATGGGTCAACTTACCCGTCCAGGAGGTTCATGGTGGAGGAGGTCACTTCGGCAAACAGGATCACTTTCCCCAGTTGCTTTGTCTGCAGGTTTCGCCGGTAGATCTCCAGGTCAAAGTGCGCGCAGGAGAAGGCCGCCGTGTCGGTCACCACGGGGAGGGCGGTTGGGGTGACTTCCATGTCGGGCATGTGGGTCGGGACAAGCCTGAGGGAGAGCTTGCTGGACTTTATCTCTCCTCCAGCGGCCATGCACTTCTCCAGCCACCGCGTGAGAGGGCCCCGGATCTCCTGCGTCGCAAAGAAGGAAATGGAGGGGTGGTGACGCGCCATTGCATTGGGTGAGGGCACTTAAGTCACACAAGCACTTCCTAAGTCGTGACCATTGAACGTTACATTGGTGTGTTCTGAACGTTGGGACTATTATACACAGGCAGTAAGGACGCTAGTATCTTAGACTACAAAAATAACCCGCTCAGAAACCAGGAGGCAAGAAAATGAGCTCTTTCTCCCACTTACTACCCTAAATTCTCCAAACCCCCCCAGCTCTCGGGCTCACTAGGAATCCTCTGGCCTTCTGTGCATTCTACAGAAAACACGTATCCTCATACGTTCCCCCACAAGGACACGGATTCTCCTATCGGGGAGAAAGCCAACACCCAGGCACTGAGGTACCGGGAGCATTTGGCTCAGCCTCCGAGCACAGTCCCTGTTTGCTGGACATGCGCTCTGTGGAGGAAGATGACAGAATGAATAAGTGTCAGGCACAGGTAACGGAATGAATGTTGGTGTCCCCCCAAATGCTGATGTTGAAATCCTAATCCCCAAGGTGACAGCCCTTGGAGGTGGAACCGTTGGGAAGTGGTTAGTCATGTGAGTGAGCCCTCCTCAACGGAGTCAGTGCCTTTATCAAAGCCACCACCCAGGGCGATCCCTCACCCTCTCACCAGCGAGGACATGGCAACAAGGCGGCCTCACCACAACCAGCCATGCCGGCACCCTGGTCCCGGCTTCCCAGCTGCAGAAGCAGGAGAAATAACTCTGTCCTTGACAAGCCGCCCGGTCGATGCCATTCTGTTCCACAGCCTGCACGGACTGAGACACCCCGACCTCAGACCTGGCCGCTAGCGGTGAGCCATTCCGCTCCTTCACTGTTGGGCCACCCTCTGAAGGGACGGAGCGGACAGGTCTGAAGTCCCTTCCTCACAGCCCCAGAGCCACTGGTTGTCACAAGGGGACCACACAGGCTACCGACACACCGTGGGGAAGCGGGTGAACCAGCTAGATTACAGGGGTGTCTGCACGAAGTTGCGCTTTCACTAGCGGAGCAGAGTGAGATGGCGACTCGGCGCGGCCGGTGTAGGCAATGGGAGCCCCGCTCAGAGTCAGTGAAAACCGGAGTGAAACCAGAGGGAACGGCAGACAGGCGACGGGATTTCCAGGACCGAATAGAGCAGGGAGTCCTCTCTGGAGTGAGTTATCCATCATTCATCTAAGAAATATCTGTGTCTCACAAGCAGTGCCACAGTGGACAGAGGACGAAAGGCCGGCGGGTATGCACACAACTACCGCAGAGTGTGAGGCATGACAAGCGCTAAGGAAATTCAGTCCAACAATTCCAATGCACTTCCCTTTGGCATGTGGTCCACCTGACTGGCCAAGTAGAATATCTCCTCTTATTTGCACACCAGTTGGTGGCAGATTCTTAAAGAATTATATTATCACTAGAGGCCCAGTGCATGAATTCGGGCTGACTGGTGATCGGGGCCAAATGGGGCCAATCGGGGCCAGCCAGCCAAGGGGGGGTGGGTAGGAGCCACGGGAGGTTGGCTGGCCATGGGAAGTTGACTGTGGGAGCGCACTGACCACCAGAGGGCAGCTCCTGTGTTGAGTGTCTGCCCCCTGGTGGTCAGTGCAGGTCATAGCTACTGGTCAGCCCGTCTTCTGGTCACTCGGTCATAATGGTCACTTACACACACACACACACACACACACACATATATATATATACACACACACACATACACACACACACATATATATGTAAATATATGTATTTTACTATATCTACTAATTACGAAAGTAATATTCCCAATTATGTTTTTAAAAGCAATACTTTGATGCACAAATGCAAAAAATAAAATTGATGAAAGCAACGCACTTTTCTCTTATACTTCTTCCACATACTCTTTCAGGACTTAGGCAGAGCCAAGTAAATTACTCAGGACAAACAGAATCTAAAAGATATAAAATGAGGCCTGAAGCCTCTTAAGAAATATAACCGTATACTACCCATAAATATTTACATTCAAGATAGTTGAATGCAACTTTAAGCCACCAAAACCAAGCACACAAAGGAAGTATTTAGGCTCTCCTACACCCGTTATCCCTGGATAATAGAATAAAGTTCTGGTTGCAAGAAACATCAGCATTACTACCTGTTTGACGCAAATCTGCCTGGAATGTCCTCTCAAATGCACTCTAGTTACAACGACTTAAGAGCTATATAAGTAGCAGATGCCCTGAGTAGGGAAAAGACTCCTGCTCCTTGGCTTAAGTCTACTAATGACCACTAAGGCAGTGTAGATATTCTGTTGGCAAAGAGGTTGATGTAAGTAGTGTTACCCAGGCAAATAGGTTGATGTAAGTAGTGTTACCCAACCCCAGTCCCAAATCCACCTAGCTCTTTGAAATGTTTGAAGCCAATTAGTTCTATTGAAAACAAAAAACAACTGCTATCAATTTTCACCCCAGTGAGATTCATAAAAGCCTTCTAATTAATGTTAAAAAAAAAAAAACAAAGCAAAAACACTTGAACTTCAAGAATTTAGTTTTTACCTTTTTCAAAGATTTCAGGCTAATTAAATACAATTTAGGTAGAACCAAAATCTAAATTTTTTTAGTTACATAACTGCTGGCCCTTATGAATTGGCCACAGCACTAGGAAGCAGATCGCTAGCCATTCACAGGAAAAGTGAACGTGCCTTTGTTTCTTGCTGGAACACACTGCACACAATGATGGAGATACTAAGGAATCTACCAAAAAAGTACCAGAACAAGTACGGGAGTTCAGCAAGGTCCCAAAATACAAGGTCAATATTCAAAAACTGGGTGTATGGCTACATATTAGCCACAAATATTTGGAGTCCTAGAAATGCCATTTGAATAGACCTGAAACATTTAGGGACAGATGAAACAAAATATGTGCCAGACCCGTACACTGAAAACTACAAAACACTCCGGAGTTGAAAATTAAAGGAGCTCAAAATAACTGAGGAGATATACCATGTTCATGGATTAGAAGACTCAATATTACTAAGATGTCAATTCTCTCCAAATTAATCTATAAGTTCAATGTAATTGCAATCAAAATCCTAGAAGGCTTTTTTTTGTAGAACTTGATAAGCTGGTTCTAAAACATATACCGAAATAGAAAGGACCTAGAATGACCAAGACAATTTTTTTGGGGGGAGTAGGAAGTTGGAAGAGTTATCTTTCAAGACTTATTACAAAGCTGCAGTAATGAAGATAGTGTGATACTAGAGTACAGTAAGACATAGATTACTAAAACAGAACAGGGTCCAGAAACAGAGCCACAAATATATGTTTGACTGATTTTCAACAGAAGTGCCAAGGCAATTCACTTGAAAAAAAGGGTCATCTTTTTAATGCATGGTACTGAAACAATTGTACATCCATATGCAAAAAACACACAAATAAAAAAATCTTATTCTGCATGTATACAAAAATTAGCCTGAGCCCCGGCTGCTGTGCCTCAGTTGGTTGGGCGTCATCCTGCGTACGAAAAGGCTGCTGGTTCTGACAGGCTGCTGGTTGTTGGCTTTATCCCAGTCCCTTGTGGGGAGAGAGTGAGGATACCAACATTCATTCCGTTACCTGTGCCTGTCATTTATTCATTCTGTTTTCTTCTCCATAGAGGGCATGTCCACAAAACAGCAAACAGGAACTGTGCTCAGAGGCTGAGCCGAATGCTCTCAGTACCTCAGTGCCTGGGTTTTTGCTTCTCTCCCAGTCCCTTGTGGAGAAGTGAGAGGATATGTGATTTCTGTAAAACACACAGAAGGCTAGAGGTTCGGAGTCACCACCTCACTCCACTTGGCTAGTGAAAGCGAGAGCTGCTGGCTGCCTCCTGTACGTGCTCCTGTACGGTTGCTGGTTTCCCCCATTAATCACTCTCAAGTTGATTTTTTTTCCTCTCTCTCCCTCTCCATTCTGCTCTTTAAAAAAATCAATTAAAAATATTTTTTTGTTAAATTGCATCAATGAATCATAAATCTAAATGTAAAACTCTGAAACTTCTAAAATAAAATTATAGGAGCAAAACTTTCTGACCTTGGGATGAGTAAAGTTCTCCTGAGACAGAACAAAAGAAGCATGAACCATAAAAGGAAAAATGATAAACTGGACTGCATAAAATTAAGAGCATTAAGAACTGCTGCTCTTCCAGAGAGAAAGTTAAGAAAAAGGAAAAGACAAACAACAGACTGAGAGAAACTAACCTGTCTGTCAAAGGACCTATATCCAGAATATTCTTAGGTCCTTAGAACAGAATTATAAACAAACCAACAATTCAACCTGGAACATGAGTGAAAAGGTTTGAACAGACACTACCCAAAGGAAAACATCAGGTGGCCAAAGAGTACATGAAAAAATACCCAGAATCCTTTGTCACCAGGGAAATACCAACTGTACCACCTCACACCCACAGGATGCCACGCGCAGTCCCATTGGAGCCATTTCACCATCACTTGCCCATCGGCTACATTCATCCACCCGAGAAGATTCAGTCAATGAAGCAGAGCCACCCTCTGACTCAGTGTCGGACTCCAAATACACATCACCTTCTGCCTGTGGTTTGGCCCTCCTCTTCCCCAGATAGACCTGATCTCCACCTAAAGGTTTTCTACCCCAGAGACACAGTGGCCTCTGCAAATAATCAGACGAGTTGTGCCTCAGTCGTAACACTGTAAGTTGCTAGGCAACCAGCAGTGTGTGAATCAGAAAGGGAATCCACACAGACACGGAACACAAGCCCGTTTTTATGGCTGTCTCGTTCTCAAATGCGCTCGAGGGAACAGGAACAGACTGAACAACAGCAAACCCGTTCCTATCGTTGTAGTTTACAAACTGGTGTGTCACTGCCACCACCATGCTGACGCAGCGTCTTCACAACCATAAAGAGGACACTCCTGTAGCCAAAACCGATATGACTCAGTGGATAGAGCATCAACCTGCAGACTGAAGAGTCCCAGGTTCGATTCGGTCAAGGG